CATAAGAGAATAATTTACCTTTAAAAACATCTCTATAAACATACAAATGTAAATACCACAATTGTTACTTCCAACCATTTGTTGTGGAACCTAAATTAGATAACAGCAGAGAAAAATTACTGAAGAATCATCATGTTTCACTTGTATGGTTTGTAATTTTTGGAAAAAAATAATACCTTGAGAATGCGAAGGGGTAACTGCTGATACTCTGAAAAGTTTACTTTCTTGTACAAATGTTCTAAAAAGCTTTGTTATAATGATTTTCAATTAGTACTCATAAATGTACTGGTAATCAGTTATCTTTATATCATTTATTTTGGTTATGTCAAGTAAACAAATGTACAGAAACTGAGAAAAATAAGATATGAATGAACAACATTTTTAAGAAATGATGCAGTATTGTTGGTGTTGAACCTAATATATCATATTACAAAACAATACTRGAGATATATAAAGTTTGGATATCTATCAACACCAGCACCATCTCCAGTCTATATATTGGTAAAGATCTGCTTAGGAATTAACATACTTATTTATGTGATCTGCTTCTGTTTGTCTTGTTCTTACATTCCATGTCATTGAGTCCATAAATATCATRTGCCTGTTAAAATAGTATAGTTCAAGACATTTTTACAAAATGTCCAAAGCAAATACATATACATACCAGGGTGTCAAAACAGCAAGAAGCCAGTGGAGACTGAAAAGATATATAGTTTATCAATAAATACAGTAGTTCCAATACTTGCAATAAACTGGTGGTCAGTTTCATTAACATTCAACTGAATATTTACCTTCTGTTTATTGGAATGAAGACATAGCTCTCACTTAAAAGCCTTGGCTTGAAAAATTTCTCAGCTGCCTTTAATTTGGCACAACTTCAGTAAAAAAAATAATTAAAACAAATAAGCAGGTAAGTGGTAAAAATGCTTTGTATAGTTTTTCCATTGTATGCAGTTTTACCTGGATGAGTCCTTACTTCTCAAATCTTGCTCTCCACAAAGAATAGAATAGAACAGTGTATCAGCAAATTCAAATGGATTTGTACACTGAATTTTCCTATAAAAAGATTTTAAATTTAAAATTAAATAGTGCTGTTTAAAATGTATAAGATGTTATTGTGCACATTACTTGATCATGATAGTTACTACAGCATCGTTGGTCATAACATATCGTTGTAACGTTTGAACGTCATGTCTTGTGACATCAACACCCAGGAAATTAACAGTAGACACAGCACTGACATTTACATCACCAACAGTAAGATCTATCTGCTCTGAGCTGTCTTTCTCTGAAACTTATTGATTATTATTCTGTTAATTAAGTCATTACACTGATGTGAAGCAGGTTTACCTAAACTCTTGATTTTGGTTTATTAATCAATAATTAACCTCATCACAACTTTAAGGTATTTTACCTGACTATCACTAGCACTTACTGTTTCACTTGTTAATGAAAACAAGCAAAATTAAATTGATGGTAAAATGAATGTGTTGAAAAAGCAAATAAAGATATAATAAAATAAAAATGATGGTATATGACATTCAGAAAACTACAATGACTGTACTTTAATTTAAGAAATTAAATATTATTTTTAGAAATACCAGTAGTTTCAAAGACATTTTCAATGATTTCTTCCTGGTTCGTTTGGTCTTCAATTTGCTCCTGGCTAMCATCATTTTCCTCTTTCAATATTTGTGTTTGATCTGCTTTGTTTTCTAWAGGATTACAATATAAGGAAATTGAAAAGATAATGATCAATTAAAATGCTGATAGGTTTTTCTGATATTAARATTATTTTATTATAATAATATTATAGTAATGAGTGTCAGATAATAATTCTACATAAATAAAAATAAGCGATAAACTTTATTAGGTTTTATTTATATAATTACACATACCTTTAATGGGTAGATGTTTGGATATGAGATAGGGTGCTACATTTCCAACCCAGAATGCTTCCAGTTTTCTGCATACGTTTAGCATGAATGCTTCATCATAAATTACTCTGGTGGTGAATATCCCAAGAGTTGTCCACACAACAAAAGCACAAAAATGAAGTCCAGTTACAAACATTTGTAGCTGTACTTGAAAGTAGTATTTCGAGGTGGGCTTCAAAACATATGACCCAT